CCAATATTCTTCTAGGTTTGCTACATGATGGCAAATCATTGAATGTTACAGTCTCTGAAGGATTAAAGTAAGTCATCCATAAGGAATTGGAGAGAAGCATGGTAGATGCAAATGAGTGGCATCTTTGAGTTTAAATCCAGCCTCAGACACTTCCTAGCTGTGTGATCCTGGGCTAGTCACAACCTCTGCCTCAGTTTCCCCAACCATAAAATGAAGATAATAATAGCACTTACCCCCCCCAATGGTGTAATGAGGATCCAATGAATTAATGTTTGTAAACCACTTAGCACAGTGCCTGGCACATAGTAAACACTATATAAAAATGCTATTATTATTACTAATGAACATAACTGCATCTCAAAAGTGCCATAAAATACTTCATCAAAGAAATAGATGACTGGACCATTCCTGGAGCAAGAGCAAGGGATAAGTCAAGTCACCAAGTATTTCTTGACTGCTCACTATGTTCCTGGCATTGTGTTTTTCTGGGGATACCAAGGATAACAAAAATACAGTCCTTGACCTCAAGGAGTATCCAGAAGAAGAAGGTGGATAGGTCAAAGACTTTGGAGAAGTCAAGAAGGATGAGGATTGAGAAGAGGCCTTTGGATTAGATTTTGCAATTAGGAGATAATAACTAACTTTGGAGAGAGAATTTTCAATTGAATGATGAGGTTGGAAGCCAGACTGAAAAGGATTGAGAAGAAAAAATAATACCAAAGTTCATTTGGAAGAACAAAAGGTCAGGAGATTCAGCAGTATCAGACTTTAAATTATATCACAAGGCTAGAACATTGTTGAAGTGTAAAATGGATAATTTCAATTATTTTAAATTAAAATTTTCTTGTATAAATAAAACCAGTGGCCAAGAATAGAAGGAATGCAGAAAATTGGGGGAAAAAAACTTTAATGGATGATCTCTCAGATAGGATGTGATTGTGTTGGAATACTATTGTGATGTAGGAAATGATAAGCTGTTTGATTTAGAAAAATATGGAAAGACTTGGACCTATGAAGGAAGATGCTATCCACCTGCAAAGAAAGAGATGGAAAATGGAAATATGCATAGTACAGTCATATGTATATATTGTGTGTGTTTATAGATGTTTATGTACATATATGTATGTGTATATATGTACACGCATATGAATGTGTGTGTATATATATATATATAGTATATACATACACTCATACACACAGAAGCATTTAATTGTAGCCTTCCTTTTTTTTTTTTTTTTGCTTTTTGGTGAGGCAATTGGGGTTAAGTGACTTGCCCAGGGTCACACAGCTAGTAAGTGTCAAGTGTTTGGTCTGAGGTCGAATTTGAACTCAGGTCCTCCTGACTTCAGGGCCGGTGCTCTATCCACTGCGCCACCCAGCTGCCCAACTGTAGCCTACTTTAGGGTGGGGGTGGGGAGGAGGAAGGGAAAAAAATAAAGTAAAAAGTATACAGCAGAGAACAAAATAAAATTTATGAGAGAGCAATGAAAAGTGGGGTAGCTTTGAAAACAATGTGTAGTATTTACTATATAGGTTTTGGAAACCTATATGGATCTTGCCCTGGGCCACATGACAGGTGAGTATCAGGACTTCAAACCTAGCACTCAATATTCAGTATGCTGCCATTCCAATTAAGGGAGCAAAATATGTGAAAATGATCAAATATAACGTGCTAACAATACGTAAGTTCTCAGATGGTGAGTCATGGGGCATAGAATAAATTAAAAGTGACCAGAACATGAGCTAGAAATATCTCATATAATAGTAACTAGCAATTAGTAACTACCCATATAATACCCATAGAATAATAATACCTAGCATTTAGCATTAGGTATGGCAAGGAAGGATATAAGACTACTAAGAGACGATGGTTGTTTCAGGGTAGGTTTTTTTTTTTTAAAGTTGGGGTCTTTAAAGTTTACAAAATGTTTTATATATGTTATCTCATCAACTCTGGGGGGTAGGCGCTATTAATAATAATAAATAACAGTTTTATTACACTTACTATGTTCCAGGCACTGTGCTAAGCGCCTTCGAGGTAGATGCTATTATTATCCCCATTTTACAGATGAGGAAACTAAGGCAAACAGAGGTTAAGTGACTTGCCCAGGGTCATACAGCTAGTAAGTTTCTGAGGCTGGATTTGAACTCTGGTCATCCTGACTCTAGGTCCAACACTTTATCCACTGTACCATCTAGCTTGTAAGTAAACCTCTCTTGTTAACTGTTCAATAATTTACAAGTGTCTTATTTCATTCCCAACTCAAACCTGAACTAACAGGGTACTGGTGTCAGGCTTGTCCCTAAAAGTGGAGAAACACTATCTGACAAAAACTGCTAGCAAAACTATAGATAGCAGACTGGCAGAAATTAAAGTTAGACCAATACCTCACACCATGCAAGATAAGCTCCAAATAGGTACCAGACCTAGATAGAAAGGGTCACATTAAACAAATTGCCTTTTGAGTATATGGATAGGGAATGAGTTCATGATATCATTAAGTGACAGAGAGGATCATGTAAGATGAAATGTACAATTTTGATTACATGAAACTATATACAATTTAAAAAGTTTTACAGAAACCAATCTAATGTAATTAAAATTAGAAAGGCAACAGGTAAGTGGAAAAATCTTTGCAATAAATTTCTCTGATAAAGACATATACACACAATATGTATATATATGTATGTAAAGAAAAGATACATAAGGAACTGATTAAAATTTATAATTAAAAGTCTTATTCCCCAAATAGATAAGTTGCCAAAGGATATGGACAAGCAGTTTTCAAAAGAGGTAATCAAAACTGTCAACAACAATATGACAAAATGCTCTACATCATTAATAACTAGAGAAATGCAACTTTGAGGTTCCGCTTCATGCCTATCAGACTGGCGAGCATGACAAAAGAAGAAAATGACAAATGTTGAAAGTGATAAGAGTCACTATTGTGCATTGTTAGTAGAGCTGGGAACTGGTGGAGCCATTCTGAAAAGCAATTTGGAACAATGCCCAAAAAGTTACTAAACAGTTTACACCCTTTGATCCAGCTATAGCACTATTTGGCCTATATCCTAAAGAGATCAAAGAAGAAGAAAAGGACTTAGGTTTATAATTGTGTGTGTGTGTGTATATGTGTGTGTGTGTGTGTGTGTGTGAGTGTGTGTGTGTGCATATGTGGAGTATGTATGTATATACATACACAATATATGTTTTATATCAGCTCTTTTTGTAGCAACCAACCTGAGAAACTGAAGTGGGGAATGGCTAAACAAATTACCATATATGAAAGTAACATAATATTGTTGTGCCTTAAGAAATGATGAAATGGACAGTTTCAGAAGAAATTGGGAAGACCTATATAAACAGACGCAGAGGGAAGTGAGCAGAATTAGGAGAAATTTTTAAGATGACATTATAGAGAAAAAACAACTTTGAAAGACTTCAGAATTGAGTTTATGCAATGATAAACCCAAGTCCAAAAACACTAAGATGAAAATTGACACTTGCCTCCTGCCAAAGAGACAATTCACTTAAAATGCAGAGAGACATATATTTTTGGACATGGGCAACGTGGGAATTTGTTGTGCTACACTATGAATGTTTATAATGAAGTTTTTATTATTAGCAGTATTTTTTGTTGTTGTTCAATGGGGTGGGGCAGTGGAAAGGCCAGATAATAAGGGCATGTAAAACTAAATTTATTTAAAATGATAAGTATATTTTCATTCTAAAGCTATAGATAATAATATAACCTAAACTCTGCATTTCACATGCACACACACAGAGGCTTATGTGTAGACTGAATTTATGTCTTTTTATTTATAAATCTGAAAACATCAACATGGTTTTTTGGGTGTTTTGGTAATGCTAGGAAAGCAAAGAATATATTCATACAAATTCTTTCACCACTACTGTTAGCTATTGATGCTCAGACTTTGTCAACTGTTATAAATTAAATGAACTAATACATCTGCAATTTCAATTTATGAAAAAGCCATTGTGATTGCACCAATCCTACAAGACAATATACAGCTGAACTTCCTTACAAAGAAGCTTAATTGCTCAGCAGATGATTGTGAAAATACTAATACCCGTCTGTTGCTGTTCAAACCTGGTTATATTAAAATTAATGTTTAGTATGTTACATGCCTATTGCAATAAAAGACAAATTTGAATTTAGATGTTTGGAGGAAGATGAACAGGATGAATCAGTTACCTCGAACATAGTACCTTATACGTATGGGTAGCCCTCCAAAAAGAAATCCTTTCTACTAGAACAATTAAAATAAAAAAACATAGACATTTGAAATGAATATTTGATCCGAATGAAAATTTAAATTTATTTATTTTGATGGCAAAATTGTTGAAAAATGTTTCAGTAATCAGAACAGTGGGACCTTGGATACTTTTTGTCTTCATTATGTGGATACTGAGATAGGAAAAAGGAAAGAGGGGATTAGATCAGGAGAGACTAAGACCAGAAATGGATGCCTAGAAGCAAAGTTGAAGAATGGAATTTGTAGCCATACTCTTAATTATTGCTATTAGAATGAAGCTTAGCAATTATGGGGAGGGAAATTCAGTGAATGATAAAAGTTCTACCAGAAAAAGACAGAATGCTTAAGCTTTTAGAAAAAGGAGTGGCACAAAATAACCAGTAACGAGCATAGATAAGAAGAATCAGTAGCCTTTCTAGAATCAGAGGGAGAGGGGCTGAGCATCTAATATGCACACACCACTTGATAAATAACTTTTTGTTGGGTGGATGGATAGAAAAATATTGCCAAGAGATAGAGCAAACTATCAGTATGGATGATTGCAGATATTTTATTAGGACTTGAGGAAGAAGGTCAGATTAGACGAATTTAGAGATACCACAAAAGACCCTTCAGCTAAGCCCTGGACCATTATTTATAGAAATTCAAGAAATAATTTAAAAAGCCCAGGGACACAAAGTCATCGTTCTTGCCAGAGAAATGATAACTCCTAGGAATTTAGAGTAAAAATGAGCAGGATTCAAAACTTAGTTTAACATTGTGCAGCCATAAGCTAGGAGAAGTTTTGATCTGTCTTCAGTGACAAATAACTGGCTCACTCTTCTCTCTGGCCTAGGACAACGCATCAAGAGGGGAACATAGACAATGTTGCAGTGACACCTTCTGGTCACCCGAGGGCCCCCTTGAGAAAATCCACAGGCACTTCCTCTTGAAGACTTAAAAAGGCCTTGGGGCCTAGGTAGGACCTCTTGGACTGAAATGCTTTGTTACTCTTCTGACCCTGGCTTTTGAAGGAGGAACCAGAAACTTTGCCCCTCTGCTGCCATAAGCCAGAGGGAAGCTGACCATCTGGACAAAGGACTCTGATACCGAATGTGAGCAGGTAGGAGGCCTTCAACCCGCTTTCTTCTTTAGGCATGGTTCATTGGTCAGGTGTGCTGTATTTCTAGTGACTCTTTAAAATTCAGCTATGATTAATAATTTTATTAAGTTTTAAATTTAGTCTTCTATCCAGTTCTGTGGCTCCCTCTTTGTTTTTTCTAGTTGGATGTCTTCATCTCAAATCCTAATTTGGGTCCAGAATATTTCACAAGATGATTTTAGATTAAAATTCATTTAAAGTAAACATTAAAAAGGCCAGGTTTAAAAAAAAAAGATTCCACAATAACAAATGCAAGCTTAATTTAATTCTACTTTTGATTCTGTAAGTATATTTGAGGGATTATCTCCTTTACCTTCCCAAAGGACCTTCTGAGGTCTGCAGTCAAAATAGCAAATAAGAATGATTCTTTTCCTTTGCTTTGAAAAAAATGTTATTCTGTGTGCCCTTAAGCTACACATTCAGATATAAGCTGAGGCCCAGGGAGGTTAATTAAGTTCCTCTGAGTTGAAGCAAGAGTTGAAATTTGCACTCAGGTTTTTTTTATTCCAAATCTAATGTGCTTTCCATTATACTGGGCTACCTCTCTTTAAAAAACAGTATACAAGTATTTATGTGTGTGTTATGCTTACAATACTATACTAGGTTGTTGTGAGGAAAACCAAAGAAATTTTTAAAAATATGGTTTTATTTCTCAAACAATCTTGTTGGGCAGAAAAGATTAATACACAGGAAACAAGAGGAAAATAATTCAGGTCTAAAACTGTTTTCAATTACTTACTAAATTGTGCTACAGGACATCACCACCATTGATTTACACACAAAAAGTGGTATAAAAGAGATCTCAGGTGATATGTATGCATGTTTAAGTACAGAAGTATATGCTAAAATATAACCTACTGAACTGAGAGAAGGGATTGGGGTAGTTGGGGAAGATTTCTTGGAGAGGGTGGAACTTGAGTTCCTTGAAGAGAATCTATTTGAATGGGAAAATAAGGGGGAAGGGGTTTCAGGGAGAGTGAACAAAAAATGCAACTAGATTACAAATGGTCCTTGAGTTTGGATTTAGTATGCTAGGCAACAGAGAATAGTTATGCATTCACTTATTGGGAAATGATTTGATAAAAAATAGTTATTTGAAGAAGATTAATCTGGCAGATGTTTGCTGGTTGAATTGGAGAAGATGTCTAGTAAATCAGCTAGAAAGCTATTGTAGTAGATGTGAGGTAAGAAGAGTCTGGGCTGGATTACGGCAACAGGATGAAAAAGGGATGCATTTGAGTAATATAATGACGACAAAGATGATGGCCGTTTGCTGACCAATACTGCCTCATCTGGCAAGGGGTAATTTTCCCCAATAATCCTTTCCATAACAATCAGTTGTGTCTCCCACACCCACTGTGCGAGCACCCAAATGATTTCTGAAAAATAATCTAACTCTATGTCAGGCAATGGATGTGGGCACATGGCAATACCAATTTTTCAGAAATTCGAAGTTCCTGTTTGAAGTTTTCTAGCAATGTTTCCAAATCTTAGCAGCTTAAGTCATTAGACTGTTGACATTGAAGGGACTGGATTTTATAGCTCTCTCTCTCTCTCTCTCTCACCAGCAATAAAGTAAGCCAACGTTCTTCTGCATGTATATAGGCCTATTATGTAACACATGAATATGGTTATTAGGTGTTGTGTCATACAGTAACCCACTGTGTGTGTCATTTGGGAACCCCAGTAGGCGAGCAGTGGTGAGTAGGTGGTGTTCAGAATGTGTGAGTAGGAACAGGAGTGATGTGATTGCAGCAACAGAAGAGGAAGATGGTAAAGCTCTTGGATTTGCATTAGTACAATTAGAAGAGATTAAAAAAAAAGTCATCGTTCACTAGAAGATACTGAGGAAATCACCTATTACTCTCTAATATAAAGTACTCTTATGGCAATAGGTGTTTTTATGATGTCCTGTCTATTCCTTGATTGAATGTCATCTACTATTAAAATGGAAGGTCCTGAAGAAACTGAATTTCATAAAGCATAAAAAACCTTTGTTTAAAAGTTAATTATTAAAGTGTTCATCTTAAATTGGGCAGAGAAGAATGGATGAAGAGAAGGAGTTAGGAGTTATAGAGATCTATGAACATTAACTTAACTGTTGGTACTTGAACTTGAGATCCTTGTCCAAAGGAGGTGTCTGAAATGAGAAAAAGTCTCCTCATACATGGAAGTCTATGCAGTGCATCATCTTGGCTCTTTCATCTTTCAGAAAAGTGATTTCCAGGAAAAGTTACTTCTGTCTCTTTAAAGATCACAAGAGAAACTGGAAGTCAGTTGGTCTTTTCTGACTGGCTGCAGACTGTTCCAATGAGGTCCTGGGAATCTTGTTGAGAGATGCCATTTGGGGTTGGACTCAGAGCTGTGTTAGGCAACTGCAAGACAGAAACACAGACTTGGGTAAGAGAAACTTTTATATGTCTCTTCAATGAAGGGATTAAGATTCAGTCAGTATTATTTGTTTTTACTTGCCTCACTTTGAATAATGAGCTAAACAGTTTAAAATTACTCATTCTCAAAGATGAGAGGCAGATGCCTGGGTAAAAAAGGGTGTGTGTATGGGCAGTTAACTTGTTTCCTTTCCTTATTCCATGTCCCCCTCCCTTTCCCCAAGTTACCTCCTTTCCTTCTGTGCCAAGGACATTCTAGAGGGATCTTTCCAGCATCTCGAGAGCATCTTCTGGGAGAGATAGATTGTCGGCTGAAGACAATAGGATTGTTTGCATATAGCTTATGTTCTTAACAAATAAAACGTCGTATTTTTAAATTGTAAGTGGAAAATACACCACTTTCAGAACATCTCCCGAGACACCAGTTGCATGCAGGACAGTTGTGATTTTTTTTTTTTAAGTATGTATTATGTAGAAGATCCTTATCCACACCTTTGCATTCTTTCTTTGGAGGTGCCCTATCTACCAAATAAGCTGCGAGATGAGAGGGCACACCGGGTGCCCGGACCACGCTGCTCAGTTTGCTGTGCCACCACCTCTAGGCACGCCAGAGCTGCTGTACCAAGTGTGCTCGTGCCAGGGAGGAGGGATGGCACGGCCCACCCTGGGGAGGCCAGGGAGGACGGTGACTGCTCTCGGATAGTTTTCTGGGGACGCGGCTTTCGGCTCATCCCCCCACGCCCCAATTCCGAGGCTGCCACCTTGTCCCCTCTCACCGCGCCATTCCCTCCTGACCATAGCCAGAGAAGCAGAGCGTGGCACTGAACCCCGTAACCAAGCAGGCGGGAGCTCAGGGATGCCAGTCGATTCCACCTCAAGAAAGGGCCCCGCGACGCCCCCTTCCCCTCCCCTCCCCCAACCTCCCCCTTCCGTAGAGGAGGCCTTAGGAGCCGCCCCTCCGCCCACCCGGGGCTCCGAGCGAGGCGATAAGCGGCTCCCCAGTGGGGGGCGGCCCCCTTCCCGCCCCTCCGGAGGGGGGGCTCGGAGAGAGGAACTACAATTCCCAGCAGCCCCCGCGCCCGGCTTCCCCCCGCCCCCGCGCATCCCCTTGCGGGCCCCCCCCGCCCCCGCCCTCCGGCGGTAGAACCGGACGGGGAGGGGAGCCGGGGAGGAGAGGAGGAGGGGAGAAGAGGAAGGGGCGCTCGCAGCGGGCGGGATGAGGCGATGCGCGTGAGGCGGCGCGGGTTGCTCGGGGCCAGGACTGAGGCGGCGGTGGCGGCGGAGCTCCCCTCGCTCGGACCCAGCCCGCCTCGGCAAAGTAAGTAGCCACCGTCGGCGCCGGGAGCGCAGCCGCGGGCACGGAAAAAAGTTGGAGCGGCCGCCAGCGCGGGGCCGCCGCTTTGTTCTCCCGGCCCGGGGGCGGGCGGGGGGCGCGCGGGACCCCGGCCGGGCGGGCGGCGGGCGCCGAACGGGGGAGAGCCGCTCGGGCCGGGCCGGGGACCGGGCCGCGGAACTTTTCTTTCTCGCTTCTTTTGTGGCTGGTGCGGTCCCGGTCCGGTCCGGGTCAGGCGCGTGGCTCCGCGCGGGCCCCTCAGCCCCGCACTGGGACTCGCCCTGCGCCGCCCCGCCCGGACGGGGCTCGGGGGCTCGCCAGGTGTCCCCCAGGGTCACTCTTTGGGGGCCCCAGACCAGCGGGGAGGGGGAGGGGAGCTCTGTTTCATTGAGTGCCGGACCCGCGCTGTCCGGGCAGGAATTTGAGAAAGTTGTCGCACTTCAGTCCTGTCTTTTATGGTACCGTTAGCTCCAAATTGGTGTGAATGGTACTTAGAGAAATGTGTCTTTTCTCAATTAACAAGTATGTTTTCTTTTCCTCCAGTTGGTGAGAGAGAGACACAGAGAAAGAGAGAGATAGAGAAAGAGACAGAGAGACAGACGGGGGGGGAGAAAGAGACAGAAGTAGAGGGGAGACAGACCGACAGACAGCAGATGGGGGGGCAGAGAGAGACAGAGAAACAGAGACAGAGACGGGGGGGAGGGGGGGAAGAGTCAGGTAGAGGAGAGACAGACCGACAGAGAGACAGCAGATGGGGGGGGCAGAGAGAGAGAGCGAGAGAGAGAGAGAGAACATGCCTTTGTAATATGTGTGTAGTCAAGCAATACAAATTCCCACACTGGCCAGGTCCAATGTCTCATTCTGCATCTTGGCTCCATCACTTTTCTGTCAGACAGTGGGTGTTTTGAAAATCATAGGTGTCTCTTACTCTTGCCCCCACCCCGCTGCCCCCTTTCCTGATTGTTTAGATTTTTTTTTTTTTTTTTTTTTTGCGGATTGTTGCCTTGATGCACGTTGTTTTGAGCTGGTGTGTGTAGGGAGGCTCTTAAAGATTAGAGGGCTCAACTGTGCCACTGTTTGTTTTCATATTACAAATAAATAACTGTATAATAACTGAGTGTCTCTGGGCTATCTTATTGAAATACTCAGACATAGGCCTTGCCTTCTGAGCAGCTACTGATATAAATCAATTTGACTGACTTAATGTGACCTGCAGACCTTTCTGTTGATAGATGGCA